CTGAGAGTTGAACATTCTCTCAGCTACATAATGAATTTGAAGCCAGCTTGGGTCATGGGCCACACATGACCCTGTCTCCAAAACAGAAAAGAAGAAAAGAAAGAAGTTAGAGGGGAAAGGGAGAAGAAGGAGAAGGCAGGAGAAGAAGGAAGTGGAAAAGGAGATGAAGTAAAAAGAAGAAAGAGAAGAAAGGAGAGGGGGAAGAGGGAGAAAAGGGGGAACAGGAAGAGATTGAAGAAAGAAGGAGGGAGATGAGGGTAGAAGGTGGTGTAGAGGGCTGGGGCGATAGCTCAATGGCAGGGCACTGTGTACCATGTTCAAGTTCCTCCGTCTAACCCCAGAACCAAAAAACAAACAAAAAAAAAAAGCATGATCCAGAAAACCGTGGATGAAAGGCTGAAGTGTAAATATTTTTTGTTGTTGTTGTTACCACTTAACTCCCTAAGATTGGGGCATGAAAGTAGTCAAGAAGGAGTATACAAAGGTGTGTGGCCCTGTGTCAATAAAACTTTATTTACAAAACCAACAAATTTAGCACAAACACCACAGTTTACTGACCCCTTTTGTAGAAAAAGACTTAGACTAAATGGAACTGACACAATGGGTCAGGAGAGCGGTGAAGGGCAGGCAGTCTACACACAGCACACAGATAAAGAAAAAGCTTACCCCAGCTGGAGGGGGGTGCAGAACACTGGAAAACCAGCCACAAGGGAAAATGCCTTCCTTGGGCAAGGACTCTGCCAGGCCTATGGTGACCAACAGACAAGACAGCAAGAGTGTGACAATATGTCCCTAAGGATAGCAGAACTAGAGGTCAAAAGTGAAGATGGGTTTAGAGTATATTGAGTGTTTATAGGCTAAAGAGAGAAGGGCTACGGGGGGGGGGGGGGGGGGGGTGGAAGATTCTAGAACAAGGAGAGGAGGAAAAAGCAAGGCCTCTTCAGGCAAGTGTTAGAGACAACCTGTCATAATTGGAGCTATTTTTCATTGTTACAACTTAAGAGACAGTCGGGTACCACTGGCATTAAGTTAGCAGAGACCAAGGGTGTCCACTAAACACATTAACAAAGCCAGGACAGGCCCTACAATCCAGAATAAACCCACCCCAAGTTTTGAAGCCTGCTTGGGGTCTAGCAAGATGGCTCAGCAGGTGACCCCTAAGACACACGTAAAGATGGATAGAAAGAACTGACTGCAGAAGGTTGTTCTCTGGCCTCCACATGCATGTCTGACACATAGGAGCATACACAAATACGTATGTGCACACAGCATGCACTCAGGCATGCATACATATACAAAATAAAATAATTTGAAAATTCATTTTAAATTAGAATAATTAATAAGGTAGAAAGCAACTTAGGAAGATACCTGGTATGGGCCTCACTCACATCCACTCACCCACATGAACACATACAAACACACACACCCCTCCAAAGGTAACCCAACAGATACCCCTAAAGCTCAGAAGGTTCCAATTGTTGCCATTGCACCCTGCCTTGTCCTTAACTTCACAGTCCTCAGAGGGCTATCTCAGCTCAGAGCCAGCCTGATCAAAGAAGAAATGGAAGAGCTACCCACCGCTTAGCTGAGCCCAGTTACCAAGCGTCCACTGAAAGATGAACTGAGTACCCCGCCCTTAGGGACACCTCCCCCAAAAAAGACCCATTCCTTTCTTAAACACCACATAGGTCCTCATCACCACCGCCACCCCCCAATCCCAAGCATGATGGACCTTACAGATTCAAATTCTAGAAAGTTCCTCGCCCCACACCAAGCCTCTAAGAGGCATCAGGACTAGTTTATTTAACAGAATTTTGTTAACGATTACCCCAAAGCAGGGGCGGGAGCTTCCAACCCAAAAGAGCAAGTGTTTGTTAAGAAATCCAGTACAAGGGCAAGCGAGATGGGTAACGGCACTTGCTGCCAAGCCTCATGACCTGCATCCAATTTCCAGGACCCAGACTGGAAAGAGGGAACCGACTCCAGAGAGCTGTCCTCTGACCCCCACACTCAAGCTGTGATATACACATGTTGGCCCCACATATACACAATTATAATAAATAAAATTAAATTTCAAAAATAAGGAAACAAAAGAGCCGGACATAATGGTGTGTGACTTTAATCTTCACACTTTTGGGGCAGAGGCAGGCAGGTCTCTGAGTTAGAGAGCAGCTTGGTCTACACAGGGAGTTCAAGACTACACAGTAAAACCCTGTCTCAAGATGAGTAATTAATTAATTAATTTAATTAAAAAGAAAAAAAACAAGGAAACAAAGAAACCCAGTAGGCAGGCAGGGAACTGCCGCCCTGGCCGAGTGGCCTGTCGGCAGCCTTTATGAACCTGTCCTTTCTTCACATGCAGAAACAGATGGCTACTGCTTTGAAGGCATGCGACAAGGACTCACTGAGATCGTGTTTACAAAGTATGGGGATTTTCCAGGAAATAAAGGATTTTTGTTATTCTTGTTGTTTGAAACAGGATCTCCTATAGCCCAGGCTGGCCTCAAACTCACTACCTCTGCCAGGATGACCTTGAACTCCTGATCCTCCGCCTCCACCTTCAGAGTCCAGTGACAACGTGTACGACTCCACATCTGATTTATGCATGTCTAGGAATGAAACACCGGGGCTTCGTGCATGCTTGGGAAGCACATGCTCAGCAAGGGAGTGCCCTAATGGTACACACTTACTGCATAGACTCCAATGTCTTCGTACCTGTTTGCCATTGCAGAAAAAAAATACCTATATATACCTGCAATGCACTAGGCACTACTCAGGCTCTGACATCAGTGAGGAACAAATACAAGGCCCTGTCCTTGTGAACACTGCCTGTGTACAAAGCCAGAGAAGCTCCATTTCCTGAGCACAGGAAGTACAGATACAGATGAACAATTACCAAAAACGCAAAATCAGAACTCAAGGAACCAACTTGTGTGCCCAAGTGCACAGCGCTACACACACAAAGTAACCCTACTTCCTTAAGGCGATTCCAAGGAGCCTCTGGGAGCAGCATATCCTAGGAGCCTTGGGAAACAGCATAGAGGATCCCAGGGGCCTTGGAGAGCAAGATCGGTGATCCCAAGAGCCTTGGGGAGCAGCACAGAGGATCCCAAGGGCCTTGGGGAGCAAGATCGGTGATCCGAAGAGCCTTGGGGAGCAGCATAGGTGATCCCAAAGAGCCGCAGGGAGTAGCATAGGTGTTAAAAATTCTTGAATTTTCTTAATAAGAATCCAAACCATGGGCTGGGGAGATAGTTCAGTGGGTAAAAGCGCTTGCTGCTCAAGCATAAGGACTGGAGTTCAAATCCCCAACACCCGCATAAAAGCCAGCCCTTCAACACACATCTGTAACCCTAGTGATAAAAGAGGTGAGTGCAGGAGGAACCTGGGGCTCTCTGGCTAGTCAGCATAGCCAAATCAGCAAAGTCTAGGTTCATTGAGAGACCCTGTCTCAAAACATAAGGTTGAGGGTAACAGAGGCAAACACCTGGTGTCAACCTAGGGCCTCTACAAACACACACACAGGCACACTCCGTGCGCACGCGCGCACACACACACACACACACACACACGCCAATGGCCACTCTTCAATGAGCATCTCTGTATACTAGATCCAGATCTTCGGGGTCTCAAAAACGTTAACTGGGTTAGCAGGTGACCCACTCAACAAAATCAGTCCAAACTGTTCAAGAATCTTGTGTGCACGCACACACGTGCACGGGCACACACATACACACCTCCCTCATTCACAAACTGCAGTACTTCCCCTCACTGACTGCAAACAAACTGCTTTTCCTTCCTTCCTTGACCCCTTCCTCACTGTAATTAATTTCCTTTTGCAGAGGAATCTGAGCCAGTAACTCAAAAGATATTTTTCATTGCATGTGTTTTCAAACAGATCTAACATTGCCTGGGCTGGCCTCAAACTCAATATCTGGACTAGCCTTACACTCGCCATCCTCCTACCTTGGCCATAGCCAGACACAGAAAGCTAGTAAGGGTGACCTCAGAACACGTGAAGTAACACATCCTAAACATGCCTCGCTTTAGCCCTCTCTGAAATGGGCGTGCAACAATTTTGGCCTCCAGGGGACACTGAGAGGTTCTAGAGAAATGAGCTAACGACCTGGAGGCTCATAATCATTCTAATTATAACCATCCCGAAAGCTGCCCCTACTGCTACTATGATTGCTGCGGGCTGAAGGTACGTAGAGTTTGCCACTAGACATCTGGAAGCAGAGAATTATAAACACAGCACCCAGGGGGCCGATTCTCCAACAAGTGTCCTCCATCAGTGAAGACACCCTGGCTTTGGCTTTAAACTTTTTAGGTGTTTGGCTTCCTAAATCTGTTGTAACCCTACTTTTTTAAGGCGACCCCAAAGAGCATGGGGTGGGAGGGCAGGTTTGGGTTCAGAGAAAAGAGCAAACACGGTTGAGAGGCACAATGGGGACAGACACCCAAAGGCTGGGCGGGCACTAGGGCAAGGTTCCTCAGACCCGAGTTGGGTCCACGCGGGGTGCAGAGCCACAAGTCCAGCGGGCAAAGGCCAAGGTCAGCTGGCTTCTGCAAGGCCAGAACCACCAAATCCATTATTACCCCTTCCCCAGGGGAAAGACGATCAGTCTTTAGGTTGAGGACTCTACACAGACTAAGGGCGTCCTCAACCCTCAGTCCTTGGGGAGGGAGCTCTAAGTTGGCCCCCCCGGGGGGGGATGTCCACAACCCTCAATACTTAGTGGAGGGTCTATAGGTCTATATTGCTGGAATGGTGAGATGGGTGTTCGTAACCCTGGGTTCTTTGGGGGGCGGGTGACTCTAATTTGTCTGGCGCGATGGAAGAGGTGTCCCCAACACTCAGTTCAAGGGAAGAGTTCTCTAGGTTGGCTGCGGCGGTGGGGAGGGGTGTCCCTGACCCTCACTCCTTACGGTGGGGGCTCCAAGTTGTCTGGCGCGATGGGGGGAGTGTCCCCGACACACTGATTTCACCCCAGACTTACCCTCGCCAGGGTACAGGTGGCCGGCTGCGCCCACCAGCAACGCGGCTACGGCCACCAGCAATGGCACGGCCGTTGTCTCACGGCGTTTCCCGGAGCCCATGGTTGTAGGAGCGCAGGGACCCCGGCGATCAGAGCACGCCACGCCGTCCCGCTCGGGACATAGTCCGCGAGGAGGTCGCCGGAGAGGCTCTAGGGGCCACGCGTCCGTCTCTTCCACGCCGGTGGCTCGCGGGCCGCAGCTCTCCAGGCGAGAGGGCCCTGGGGACAGCCCCGGGAAGAGCACAGAGGCCTCGGCTTCAACCAACGAGGTGGCGCGGCCCGCAGACTACGGCCCCGGGTCACCCAGGCCCGGTCCCGTGCCTGCAATCGCAGGGTCCAGAGCTCACCGCCGTGTGCCCCCTTTCCAGGCCTCCTGTTTCTTCGCCCGGTGCAGCTCTGGGTGGGTCGCGTTCTGTGGAGTCTGAAACAGAGGGACGCGCGAACGGGCGGGCACCTGGGCTGGTGGCGGCGGCGGGAGCGAGGGCTCGACTCCGGCCCGTAAACAACGCGGCCCGTCAGCTGGGCCCCGCGCGGGCCGAGGGAAAAGCTGGCGCGGATTGAAGCTGGGAAGGGACTGTGCGCTCAAGTGAGGCCCGCGGAGGGGGGGGGGGGTACAAGCAAGCCGAGCGCCGGGAGGCGTGGCCAGAGATTGCAATGCCACGCCTCCTCGCCTCCCCGTGTGGCGCCCCCGACTTTGGAGGCCCGGGGAGCACCTCAGATTCTCCCAACTCAGACACCCCAAAATGCCTATTTTAAAAAGGCGACGACTTAAAAGCTTGGAAATGACCCCAGATATTAGTCTGACATGAATATCCTAAACAGCTCTGAGTCTCCCACGTCAGATCTCGGGAGCTGCCCAGCTCCGCGCCTGACTCGAAAGCCCCCAAATAGCCCCGAGGTTCCAATTTAAATACCTGGGGCGCCCCAAATGCTCGCCCGACTCGAACATCAATAAACAGACCTGAGGTTCCAATATATAAGCTAGGAACGTCCCAGATCCTCTTCTGATCGCAACAAACCCAAATAACACCAAGGTTCCAATTTAAAGGTCTGGAGAATGCTCCATATCTCCGCCTGATCCGGATACCCTAATCAGGCCCGAAGTAACTATTTAAAAGCCTGGGAATGCCCCCAATATCCTCCGGACGTGAACATCCCAAGCAGCTCTAAGACCCCAGTGTCTTACTCTAACGCCCTCCCAAGTATCCCTATGACTTCGATCGCAATATGGAAGCCCTTTAAGGTGCCCCCAGATGCCAGACTCAACCAAACAGACCCTGTCTTTACATTTTTCACTATTTTTGTCTCCTATGGAGAATTCACTTTTATTCTTTACTCCTGACGGGTTTTTTTCTTTTTTCTTTACAGCCTCTAGGATTAATGCCTCGCTGGATTTCTCCGGTTGTGGATCTCTCTAGGAGCTAGTGGGCGCCCCACAAGTTCCCTCCCCAATAAGCTTCCTCCCAGCAGCGTGACCCACACCAACTTCCCAGGACACAGCCAAGTGTCCACAATGCCGGCTGCCTGTGTTCCCTGGCCTGAGCCCCTCTCTACGCAGCACTGGATTCCAGGGAAAAACAATAAAGAAATGACTCCAAGAAGAACTTAGCAAGACTTCTAGGAAAACTCTGGAAACTTCATATAGGACCCGGATAGCTGTATTCCATTTTCAACATGCATACCTGTAGGTGGCTGTATAAATGTCTAAAAATGTTAGTCATTCACTAACAGTCCTACTCAACCACCTTCAGTCTAGCCCTGTCTGGACATTTGAAATATGTGAAGTCCAGAGGCCTCTATCCTTCACTTCCGGTGTCCATTTGGGCAGATTACCACCATATCTGGAGCTGATGGTCTATGCAATGGGTTTAACAATATCTGTAAAAAGCAAAAATAAAAATAAAATAGGAAGCAATAGAAGACACTCAAGATCAACTTTTGGCAGAGAGGGAGAGGGAGAGAGAGAGAGAGAGAGAGAGAGAGAGAGAGAGAGGAAGAAGATCTGGAGTTTGAACTTAGCCTAGAGCACATGAGATCTTGTCTTTAAAATAAAAATAAGACAGTTGGGCCGACAAGATGAGTCAGCAGGTAAAGGCACTTGTTGCCAAGTCTGAAGACCCGAGTTCAATCATCTAAGGTCCCACAGGGTATGCACACACATACTAAGTAAATAAATAAATGTAAGTGCTTTCAAAATTACTTTTAAGTGGTGACCTAGAGCTGTGGTTCCTTAGTAGAGCTCTTGCTCAGCATACATGAGACCCTGGGTTTAACCTGTAGGACCAATGAACAAAACCCTTACTAGGAGCTGGGATCATGGTTCTTGCATTATGCGAATGCACTCCTTCCTTAAAGCCTTTCCCCAATTTTGCCACCACTGTCACTCCTCCTGCTCCAATGAGCACCCTCCCCTGACTACAGTTTGCAAATGCCCTTCAGTCCCTATGCTCCCTTCCCCAGTCCTTTCCATCATGTGCATATCCCTCCGCGACATTTTTATTTATTATCATGCGTGTCATTGCTTATCAGTCTGCCCCGCACACCATGCCTGACATACATATTTGCTGATAAATATTTGTTCAGAGGAAGAATCAACAAGCCCCTTGAAATAAGGGGTTCTCAGTAAACAAAATCAACATGGTATGTTTCCTTGTAGACTGCATGTAGGTCCTGTGTTATGTGTCGAGGCAGGGAGTAGATACAAAAGTATCTGCCGAGGATATCCTTGGAAGCTGAGCTCTGAAGAGAAGGATGCCAGCCAAGAGACGCTGGGAAAGTATATCCTCATGGAGTGAAGGGCTTATGCGGTGGCCGTGGGGCTTTCGGGGGCTGTGGGTACAGAGAGGGGAGAGGAGAACTTGATGCCATGGGTGGGAATGAGAAGATGCAGATGCTCAACCACCACATCAGGATGTGCTTGATTTGTGTGTTTATGTGGACACGTGTGCACTTGCGAAGGTAGCATGTGTGGGTATGCGTGTGCAAGCGCACCTGTGCTTCTAGAGGCCACACAGGTGAGCATTGGGTGTCTCCCTACATCAGTCTACAATCCTTTTTTTTTTTTTTTTTTTTTTTTTTTTGTGAGACAGGGTCTCTTGCAGAGCCTGTAACACCAGTGAGCCAGCAAGCCTTGGGGATACTTGCATCTCTGCCTTCCAAACTCTGGGAACACTGGTTTGGACCACAGTTCGTGCACCAGTTTTCTATATGAGTCTGTATGAGTTCTGGGGACCTCAACTCAGCGCTTCATTCTTGAAAGGCCAGCACTATACAACTCAGCCATTTCCGCAGAGACTGGTTTGTACTTTTGTTGTTTTCTTTTCATTCTTTCTTTTTGTTTTGTTTGTTCATTTTTGAGACAAAGTCCCACTGGGTAGCCTGGGTTAACCACCTGCCTCTGCCTCCCAGGGTTCGGAACTAAAGGCATGCACCACCATTTCCAACCTTAATTTTATTTGCGGGGCTGGGAAAGAGCATGAGCAGATGCCAAGACTAGAAGAGACTAGAAGAGGAGTGGTGTCCCCTGGAGTCAAGAACCAGGAAGGTGGCTCAGTGGGTAAAGGTATTTGCTGACGAGCTGGGCAACCTGAACTCAGTCCTCAGGACTCATATAGTAAAAGGAGAGCTGACTCCCACAAGTTGCCCTCTGACCAACACACACACACACACACACACACACACACACACACTAGTTAACACTAACACCAGGTGGGCACCAAAAGCTGAAAGCAGCACACTAGGAGTATGAACCAGTACTTTCCAGAGACAGCCAGACTGCAGATGACTTGACCTTAGTCAATGAGGACCCTGCAGTGTTGGAATGATAGATCATGAGCCATACTGATCTTTGACTGTCTTGGATCCTGAATAATCATCTAGCTTAACTTCCGCCCCTGACCCAAGTAACAGATAAACCTTAAAGAAGAAGCCATTATTAGCACATCTCAGGCTTCCACCTACCCTAAGGCTGAGAATACTGTAGACCGTCTTGTACCCAAAGAGATTTCATTTTGTTATTGGGGACAGATTATCTGATGTTACCACTAATGTAACTGGTACACACAGACACACAGTAACTGACAGCTTGTTTCCCTCTGTGCCTGCATCAAAGCTCACGCGAGGATTGCAGAGTTGCCTCGATGGGTAAAAGCTGGCTGAACAAACTTCTTTGGATCCCTAGAACCCACATAAATACGGATGAAGTAGAGTGCCCATCTATTATCCAGCAGAGTGTTCACCTATTAGCCTAACATGTCCACAAGGCGACGGGAAATGGTGGCTGGAAAATCCCTCAGAAAGGCAAAGGACGACTAACTGGCATCTTCGGTGGTAAACAAGAAACGGTCACATAAGGTGGAAGAAGGGGAGGATCAACAGCAGAGGTTGTTCTCTGCCCTCCACATATGCACAGTGGCACATGTGGTCACTCTTCTTTGGTTTATAATAAACTATTTCCTTATTTACTTTCAGAGCCATTGCTTTGGGCCAGAATTGGAGCTCGGGTGGTAGCACAACCGTGGATCATCCAGGAACCCCTGGATCCCATCCTAGTAACTCTACCCTGGGGATGGGATGTACACTGTTGATATCAGTACTGAGGAGGTGGTGGCAGGAAGACCGGGAGTTCAAGGTTATCCTTCACTAAAAACAAAAACAACAACAAAAGAGCTGAGCCTGATGATTTGTCATCCGTGCTCCTGAGGAAGCTGGGGCAGGAGGATTGAAGTTCAAGGACTACCTGGGCTTCAGAGCAAGTGCAAAGCTAACATGGGTAGCTTAGTGAAGCCCTGTCCCAAAAGAAAAAATGAAAAGAGGGCTAGGAGTCCCATGGGTCCGTCACTGAGATGGAAGGAGAGTGTTAGCATCTTGTAATCTCGCTGGTGACCGATTCAGAAGAGCTGTCTGTGAGGGCTAACGGCAATGGCATCATCCATCCTTGTGCCTCTGTTTGCAACATGCAATCAATGGCTTGGCTTTGTGCTGAGAGTTGCATCATTGGGAGGTTTTTGTCCTTGTGCAAACGTCACAGAGTATATTTGTACAAGCCCAGATAGTACAGCCTGGGGTGTATGGTGCAGCCTGTCATTACTAGGCAACAAGCTTCAAAACACTGTACACCAAACACTCTCTACTAACGCAACACTATGCTGAGTGCTGTATCCAAACAGTAAACATGCATGACAGAGAACATTAAAAAACAACAACAACAACAAAAAGTGGCTCACCGAGTAAAGCACTGGCTGAGCAAGGGCAAGGATCTGAGTTCAGATCACCCGCACGAAAGCTGGGCATGGCAGCCTGCTCCTGTCACCCAGCGCTGGGGGAGAGGAGAAGTGGGTGCAGGGCTTGCTGGTCCTCTTGTCAGGCTCCTTTACCTTTCTCAGTCTGGTTTACTTCACTTAACACAATGATTTACAGTCCGATCTATTTCCATGCAAATGTCACAAATTCAGGGTTTGTCTGTTCTGTTTTTAATATGGCAGAATAAGATTTTATTGTATACGAAGAGAAGGTTTGTTTAACC